TTTCACACTGGGTGCTGCATAGCATCATCTGTGCATCTGACAGCTGGTAGCAGGAGGCTTACTTTGGGGAGCTCAAAAGCTCTTTTAAAAATACTTTTTTTAACGAATTCCTGTATTATACATACAGTGCTGTACTAACAGTCATTTTAGACTCATCATGAAATGTCCATTCAGCCTAATATTCAGAAAGAAAAACAGACATAAAGTGGCTGGCTCTAGTAAGAATAGTCCACGCAAAAGAGATGAAAATATACCCAATTTCCCTGGTTAAAGCTTCCTGTGCCCAGAAAGTTTTAATTTTTTTATTCTGCTGAGCCTTCTAGATTTTCTTTAGAATTGAGTTTTTAAGTCCTCCTCTTTAGAACTGTTATGTAAATTAACTGTGTCTGCTTTCAAACTATGCAATCATTTGCTTGTGTGCCTAATGATTAGCTTCTCTCAGCACTTCTGATCTCCTCAGAAAGTGGAAATACTGCTGGTAGAGAACATTATCTATTTTCCCGCCTTTCCTTGTCCTTCTGACTGGTCCAGGCAGAGATGCCTATACATACCTTTGAACAAAAACTAGCTATACTTCTGGCGTAAGACAATTTCATTTTTTTTTTACAGCTTATCTGCACAACAGTCATGCAGCCTAATAGAACAAATATAATGTTATGTAAGTTTTTCAAATTCCATTTATTAAGTTTGTCCAACATCATTCTACCAAGAAATAAGTTTTACTTTCTGAAATATACTTCAATGATGTTGTTTTAAGATTGTTAATTACTCTATGTACATGCCTTTTCCCTCAATATCTTTCTGAATATTGATTTTTGAATCTTACGTAATGTTAAAACTACTGCCAACACACACATGAATGAAAAATTCTGTTTGAACTGGTTATATGCCTACCTGTAGTATTCTATCATAGAATTTTGTACTTTACTCAGTGTTTGTGAGGGGAGGGTTCCACTTAATCAGCATAAACTGATACTCAGGCTCAGGTTTTGATCTGAACTTAGCATGAAAAATGTGCATAAGTGAAACTACTTTAGCTGTGGAATGGCCATATCACAATCAGTTTTTTGCATGGCATATTTCCTATAATCATCAATTTCTAAAATGTGAATATAGTCTCTATAGTGGAAAAAAATTTTTTTGAGTATTAAAGATGACTTTATAGGAGTCAGTAATAAAAAGAATAGACCTCGATTTCCCCTAATAATTTTCTTGTCAACACTTTATGCCACTTGATAAATTAAATAAAATTTCTCCTGTCAGTTGTGTTCTGTTGATTCACTTCACAAATATTTATAGAAGCTGTCCTCTGGACCCGGGTCTCCATGGCCACTGGAGGGCGATCATACTCCTTGTGGCCCATCATGGCACCAGTGTGAAGGGAAAAACAGATATATTCAAATGACCACCAAGAGAAAGAACAGTGTTTCTAAATGTGTAAAGTCATTTAGAGTGAAAACTTTATGCTATATAAAAAAAATTACATGTGTTATAATTATATTTCAAAAAATTATTAGTGCCTCCAAACAGATGGCTATTTCCCCTGTTGACACCATGTTTCTTTTAAGATTTTATTTATTTTTAGAGAGAGGTGAAGGGAAGGAGAAGGAGTGAGAATGAAACATCGATATGGGAAACATCAATTGGTTGCTTCTTGTACTTGCCCCAGCCAGGGAGCAAACCTGCAACCCAGGCATGTGCCTTGACAAGGAATTGAACCAGCAACTTTTCACTTTACAGGACAACACCCTACCAACTGAGGCACACCGGTCAGGGCGACACCATATTTTTGAAAGAGTTTACCTGCCCAACACATTCATTGAGTAATTATTTTCTCATTAGTATTTACAAAAAACCAAATGTGTCAGTCAGATTCCAAGGGGTTGATATATTACCACCAACCAACACCACCACCCCCCAAAAAAAGGAAAGAAATTTATTTCATTTTCTTAGACGGTGTATCATGATTGTGGACAGATCCGTAATTTCTAGTAATATAAAATACTAAAAATATCCGTTACCCAGTGGCCTTCATCGATCTAATCTAATTCTCTTATTTATGAATATTTTAGTAATACATATTTTTTTTTCTGTTGACGTGCCAGTCTGTTGTTAAGTGGAATTAGTGAGCCCCTTTTCTGAACATCTACTTCGAGTGTTGCATGGACAGACAGTCTCTGTTGGATAGGAATTGACTTGGAAAAGGAAACATATTTATGGCCTTCATAAAGGCTCAAGGTGCTTTTCTGCTTAACTCAAGTGGTTAACGGGCATGAAGTATTTGTTGTATTTGTTGACTGTGTGTTAGTTTATGTCCTAATGGCTGTTAGGTTGACAGTTGGTGGGAGTGGCAGGAGCAGAGTGCAGCCAAACTGGAGCCCAGGCAGCCCGCTCTGCAGATGGTTCCAAGCCCTTGTCCTCACCAAGCCTCCGCCAACCCTCTTCTCCACCCCGCTCATTCACCTGTCAAGCCTGTCATCTTTTCCCACTAAACTGAGATAAAATGATAAGTTTTGCTGGTTGGAAACCATTTAACACTAGCATGGGGGTGTTTGCATCCTGTGTAGAGTTAGAGAGCCTGCCATAACATCTTTGGCAACAAGTTCACTTCCCCCAGGGAAAGAAGATACCTTAGACCGTTCGGGATGAAATGATATAGGCTATGGGTAAGTCATGAGTGAGAGCGCAGGATTTACAGGAACTTTCACAAAAGATCTCCGCCACTAGGTTTCCTTAAGCCCAAACTGGACGTTTCTCCTGCATCACGTGGGCCACTCTGTCTCTTAGTCAACCAAGGAGGCAAAATTGCTTTCACATAACATTATGTAACTAAAACAAAACTAACAGAGTTGTTAATGGCAATTACTAATTTGTGATGAGGTTACCAGAGAGTTTCATTTTCTCTCTTCTTTTCTGGATGTATTTACAAGTTGTTATGGTGAACATGAATTGCTTTTAAATCAAGAAAAAAGTCATTCATAATATGTTATAAAAATACATGTATAAAAATCCCACATATATCTTTGCCATAGCAAAGTAATTTTATTCAGTATGTTCTGACTAGCTGAACTTGATATTATAATAATGAGCTCTTCCATTTGTATAGTTCTTTATACAGATTTTCTCATGTGGGACATTTACTTAATTTAGTAATGGTAATGGGATAGATAATAATATCACAAAACGAGGAAATTGTGGGTTAGATATTTTATCTTGTTGGCCAAGGTTATGTAATTAGCACATAACAGAAATAGAGCAGTATTTCTGAATCCTAGGACAATTTTCTTTTTTTATATACCATAATACCTTTTTCCTTTTCTATGTATAATTGCCTGCTCAATCCCATGAAACATATAAAGAAATATAAGGCCCAGTTCCTGCCATCAGCAGTTTATAATACAGCTTGGGTACAAATACATATGCTGACAGAGTTAATTATCAATTCAGTTGATGGCATAAATGAAAGTGCAGTGCATCATACAGTGCAGGCACATAAGAGGCACTCAAGGAATGATGGGTGGATGGTTGGGTAGGTGGATGGATCAATGAGTGAGTAGATGGGTGGGTGGGTGGGTGGGCGCATTGTTGCATGGATGGATGAGCAGAAGGGCAGATGGATTGACAAATTAATTAGCTATACAGGACTGTAAAGGAGAACAGTTCACTTGTCACAGATGATCGAATTCAGTTAACTATTTATTGATGTTCATAGGCCAGAGAAATTTCAAGAAAGAGAAAAGAGCCTAGCCTGGCCTTCAGGAACTTGTAAGAGTAGAATCTGACTCTTCACCTAGGGGTAGTGGCGGAATTCCAGGCCGAGGGCCCAGCATGATGAGCAAAGGCAGTGCAGCAGAAAGAGCGTGATATGACTGCGAGTATCGTGTCTTTAGAAAACTAATGCATTTTCTAAAGCAGAAGGTTTGGTGAAAGCTTTGAAAGTGGAATGGTACTATAGAGCATCTTGAATTTCAAGCTGGAGTACTTAATCTGTAAGCCTGAGCAGCTATAGAAATTTTTGCATAATTAATGTTATAAGGAATATGTTTTAGGCAACAAATCTGGTAGAAATATGACTTTATGTTAAATAAAAAGACATGAGACAGTTTAATACAAGGTGAATATTAGAAGTATTCAACTGGGAGTATAATGTAGTTTCAGGAAGAACTATACATGTTGATCTTGCTGTACCATTATTAAAATATTCCCGTATGTAGTTGAAGTTACTGAGACAGTTATGTCAAATTCATCTTTAGGTCAATAGGTATTCTCATTGAGGACGAAAAGATTACAATATGTGAGGATAAGAAGTTGGCATAAAAGTCTAGAAGTCTCCAAATATTTCATGTATAAAGTTTAATAAATTTTTCATATGCTAGAGGACAGGTAATAATTTGTGTTTCCTGGAATATTCAACCTAAATACTAGGTGTGTCAGAAAATTTGGTGTTTCTTGCATGGAAGTTCTTACTGAACTAGGAGAAGTTGTATACTTTGTTATTTCTCTTTCTTTAAATCAATTATTTTATCTTACAAAATTGGCAGTGCCATCACTTGAGTCCAAGTGGTTGACAGTGAAGCCTTTGAGCAACCTCTGTGGGTTAGACTCCAGCCCAACCACTGAACTGCTAGGCAATCCCAGCCAAATTTCTCTCTGATCCTCAATTTTCTCATCCATGGATGATAATAACACTAACATCTTAAGGTTGTTGGTAAGATTAAATGTAAAAAATATGCACTAGTGCCTGCCACATAGTCACAATTTATGAATGATAGTCATGTTACTAGTAATGCTATGATAATCAATGAGTGATATACATTCATCTTACTTTCTTGTTGTGATTGTTTACTTGTTTTATCTGTTTTAAAAGCATTGCTCTAAAGAAAGCTAGGATCCCTTAGGGATGTGTCTGTGTTCTCTGCTGAATGAAATTATAACCCAACATATATAGCTTAGGTTGCTCATAACCACAGCAAAGCTGACCTGCCTCTTGCCTTTTGTAGTGAGCCATCTCTATGGATTTGGACTGATGGATGCAGAAGCCATGGTGATGGAGGCAGAGAAGTGGACCACTGTTCCCCAGCAGCACGTGTGTGTGGAGAGCACAGACCGACAAATCAAGTAATGTTTGCTGCAAACAGATAGCATATCAGTGCCTTAAATGAGAACAGGCCAGAGCAAGTGCTCAGGATAGCTCTGCGTTACATGTGGAAGCTGAAACTCAGCATAGTTTTTTCTAATGTAATTATAAAATTCTAATAGAATGGCTAGGATGTTAAGCTGTTGTTATTGGTCCTTAAAAGAAAAGCATCTCTTGAAAGGGGATTTGGGGGGACCCTTAGGGGCATTCTTAAGGTTTCCACTCTGTCACTATATCTATTGATGGTACAAGTATTCTCCGTGAGTGAGTGTACTCCAAAAAAACTAAACCACATGTCTGGAAACTTAACTATATATCATAGTTAAGCTATGTTCTTAACTATCTCCAGAGTGGTGCAAAATGCACGTAGTTCTCCAGAGTGGTGCAAAATGCACAGTACATGAGATTACAGATTATTTAGAGATTTCAGGGCCTATTCACATGTTTGGCTGCCCAGACTTGGAGGCTGTGCTGACAGGGTTTACCAAGCGGTAGTAAGAAATGTCTTCTAGGTGCTGAATCCAAAGAACAGGATTCATCTTGTGATTTTACTAGTATTTTGCTTTTGGCTTTCTTTTTAGAGAGTTGGCTCTCAGAAAAAATATTTATGAACTTTGATTGTGATGAAACTAGAGCCAATATAATTCTTGAGAAAATTTGTGAGGAAGCAGAAATAATGAACTATTTTTATTTTTTTGTATTCTGTTCTTTTGTGGCAACGAATACCAGAAAAAGAGGAGTAAAAGTTAACCAGTATTTATAGAACACTGACTAACAGCCCAGCCAAGCTCTAGAAACTTCATTTGTGTTTTCTTATTAAAAGTTCGTAAGAATTTGGGTATTATTCCAGTTGACAAATGAGGAAATGAGATCAGTGGGAATATTTATTTGTTCACAATTTATTTACCAGTTTGACAACTATTTTTCTTACACTGAGACAGATATTAAGGATAGAAAGGGGAATAAGAAATACTCCCTGCCCTTGTGGAGCTTACAGTCTAGGGGCAGTCAAGCCAAAAAAATATACGTAAATAATTACAAATTACAATAAATTAATGTTGGAAATAGAGAGGGTAGAAAATAGGAGGTGGAAGCATATTTTTTTTTCCTGTGGTTCAATGATAGTCTCAGAGAGTGAAATTTAAGCTTTGACCATGAAGAGTCAGCAGCAAAAAAATAAATTTTTTTTGAAGCACTTGAGGCCAAGGGCTTTAAAACCCTGAGGTGGGAAAACTGAATCATCCCCAAACTTGAACTGATGCCCGTGTGGCTGCAGCCGGGTGTTTAGGGGGACAGCCACACAGGAGGAAGTCAGTGAAGAAAACAGGAATCTGTGGGCAAGAGGGTGTGTGCCCAGGGTTAGGGAGCAAGGAAATGGTAGACCAGGGTCAAATCCCAAGGTCATACTACCCCCAAGTTCACAGTACCACAGTACTGTATATCAGTGGCCCTCAAAGTATGTTCCATAGGTCAGCAACATCACTGTCACCTGGGAACTTGTTAGAAATGCAAATTCTTGAGATGTACCGCAGCCTTACTGAGTCAGACATTCTGTAGCCAGGGCCCAGCAGTCCGTGTTTTAACAAGATGAGATTCTCAAGTTAGATACCTACTACCTGTGTGCAGATAAAAGACCCTTGAATTCCCCCTTTCCTCTTACTTGCATTTTTCCCACTACCTAACCAGTGTCAATCCTTTAAATGACCCAGGAATTTGGTGATAGTGCTGTGTCCTTTAGGATCCAGCGACCAGCTGCTTGCATTACCTCGTGTGATGTCGTTCTAGGCCTGCAGGGTCTCTCAGCCGGGCTATGCCATGTACTTTGCTCAAACTCCCTCTTTCTCTGCTGCAGGACAATTCGCCCCAACAGTGCAGTGCGCTCCATCTACAAAGCTTCCGGCTGCTCCGATAACCCCAACCACCATGTCAACTACCTGGAACATGTAGTTGTGCGCATAACCATCACCCATCCCAGGAGGGGTGACCTGGCCATCTACCTGACCTCGCCCTCAGGAACCAGGTCCCAGCTTTTGGCCAACAGGTACAGTGACGGCCTCTGCCCGCCAGCGTGTAGGGGTCACCCTGACACTCAGCTCCTCCTGTGGGAAGAAAAGGCCAGCTGCTCCTTACTTGCTATGCTGATAACTAAGGGGCACATAGATGTCATGACAGGATGGTCGTAGCACTTTCTACCTACACGTAAATAGAGAGTGTGAAGCCGCAAAGAACAGCATAGCATAATGGGTGGGTAACATTAGAAGGGCGTTGCAGAAAAACCGAGGGCCATCTGTTGTACCTTATCCTGAATATGAAACGGAGAGCACTACTTCCTTAGGCCTCTCAGATTCTCGCCCCTGTACTTAAATGCCTGCTGGCATTTGGTACAGATTAGCTGAATTCTCCTGCCCAAGCACTTTCTGAAGTTCAGGGAAATTCTATTTGTTTTAAAATGGGTATTGGCAAATTTTTTTCTGCAGACAATTAGTAAATGTTTTGAGCTTTGCAGGCCATGTTTCTGTTACAACTACTCAACTTTGCCATTACAGTGTAGACAATATAAATAAGTGGGCATGGCTATGTTCCAATAAAACTTTATTTATAGAATAAGCAGAGGGACAGGCTTGAGGATGGACTGTGTAGTTTGCTGACCCCTGTTTTAAAGATTGGCCCTTTAATCTGTATTGCCCAAGAGGACACTCGATGTAATTTCTCTCCTTAAACTCTCCCCTTCTCGTCACTCCCTCCACACATTTCTCCAGCAGGTATTGCCAGGATCCTGATGAAAGACCAGAATGTTCTTGCATTGGCTTTTTGCCCCACTGGCTTTTTGAGTGGTTGGGAGCATGGACAGGGAGTGCTTGTCAACAAGTGGGACCAGATGGGAAAATGTCAGCTTGTCCTATTCACCTCATTCCCATTATGATCCTAAAGTACAAACCACAACCAGAAGGAAGCCTAAAAGATTCTTTTAATTTGATCTTTTTCTCCAAGGGGAACATTTAATGGGAGCAAAAACCTTAACATCAGTGACACATAAGAGTCCAAATGAAACCCAACCTTTTATGTAGACATAGCCACCTGTCCACATGCCAGGTGACCAAGGCAGCGGTCATCTTCGTTAGGACACTAACAACAGGCCAGAAGAGTGGTGAGGCCAGGGGCCAACGCAAGCCTGTAGAACCAAAAGTGAGACTGAGCAGTTGCTAGTTGCTTTTCAACATCCGCAAACTCCATCTGCTAGGGAACAGTCAAAAAAAAGGGAGAGCAATAAATAGCGCTTCCAGGTGACGAGGAGTACAGATTCCAAAATCTTCAAGTGCATTTCATTTCAGTGCTTAGAAGACTTGCCGTGTTCTTTAAAACCTAACTGCCTCCGCTCGGGCATGGGGAAACCTGGGTTTCATACTTTATGAGGCACAGCTTAGCCAGAATAAGTGTGTGCAGGTGCAAAGAACAGACGGGCGCTTTGGCCTCAGGTAGCTGGCATGCCCTCCTCCCTTCACAAACAGGGGTCTCAGCTGTTGCCTGCCAGGTAATTGCAAGTACCTGCCTGATGCTTCCTTTCAGCAAGCAGGGCTTTCAGATGCACAATTACATGATTAATGGAGGTCACACTAGCTGTTGTTACTAAAGCCAGAGAAGACCTTTTTCTGTTTTTTTCTCTTTGTTTACCATTATACATCTGTGTCAAACTTAAAAGGGTATCTATGCGAAACATTGATTGTGAAGAGCAAAGGTTTGCTTCGCACATGTGTGGCTCATGCCTCGAGCCCCCTCCATTGTACATAAATAATCCTTTGCAGTTGCTGTTTGCTTGGAAAATAGCCTCCTCAGCCTTTCTGGGCTCTTCCTGCATATTTTGGTATTCTTTGTTGGCTTCCCCCAAAATGACTTCAGTGAGGAAACTTGTCCGTCCGTCACAGGCGTTTGGTGGATGACGAGGTCACTGGCATCAGTTGCACATGCATTCCCGAACCACCACCATCTGCTTTGCTCTTTGCAAAGTGCTGGACCCCAGAGTGCTGCTTGACTTGTGTCAGAGAAAACAAACAAACAAACAAAAAAAAAAATCAGGCATTTCAGATGCTCAGTGACTAGCAGTCATGAGGTTTACCTCCATTTCCCCAATCAAAAGCACCTGGGAATCAGGTTTGCACCCGGAGTGCATTTTCTGGGTCTGGAGCATTTCCTAAACTGCTGCTCTTTCATGTATCTTCCATCTCAGGAAAATAAGTAGCCACCAAAAAGAGGCGGACAGACTGGAGTGGAGGAAGGAGGCTGGAGGCACTGAGAGATGTAAAGGAAGTTATGAATTCATTTGTCTACAGCTCCCCCAAAACATTGCTTTGAGCAGCTGACTCCTTAAATGTGAAACAGCTGCACCAGGTCCCAAATCCACACGTGGCCACGTTCCAGGGCCTGGCTCCCCTGTCCTTGCTGTGCTTGACACTAGTAGCATCCCTCCTACCGAGGCAGCTAGGGAAAGACGGTTTCTTTTGGCATTTCCTCCATCTGGCATATTCCGAAGCTTTAATTTTATGAGAGGAAATCTCTACTCAAAACCTCTCAGTCTCAGACCTAGTGGCAAGGAATCCTCATGTCCTGTCACCTTGGCCGTGTTTCAAAACACATTTTCAGGATTGGGAGCTGAGGGCAAGAAGCATAGAAAAAAGGTGGGGAGGGGGTAAGGGAAGGCCCGCGTTGCTCCCGGTGTCCTTCATGTTAGTCTGCAGGGCAAAACGCTTTACCTTAAGGAAAAGGTGCTTAGGTCAGGTTTTAGAAGGAATTTGTGTATCAAAGATTATTAAAGAGGGCAATAAATAGTTCCCCTGTTGGACACTTCCCTTTCCTTCAAAGAACTCAAGATTTCTGAAGACCACATAGAGCAAAGAACGCTGTAGTTTTAAGATAGGAATTCTGCCCTGGCCAGGTGCCTCAGTTGGTTGGAGCATCATTCTGTAAACCAGGAGACCGCAGGCTCGATCCTCATTCAGGGCACATACCTAGGTTGCAGCTTCAAGCCCTGGTCAGGGCGCGTATGGGAGGCAACCAATTGATGTTTCTCTCTCACATTGATCTCTCTCTCTGTAAAATCAGTAAAAACATATCCTCTGGTGAGGATTTAAAAAGAACAAAAGAGGAATTCTGAAAGGTGTAAAACATAAAGTTGCCCTAGTGGGGGTCATTTGAGATGAAGAGGTAAAGCCGTGGTGGCAGAGTTGTCTGCATTTGCCCTTCCTGTGGATCTGTGAGGTGTGACTCTGCACCATGGACGGTGTCAGCTGCTGTGAGGAGGAAGGATGGCGAGCGCCAGCTCACATCCCCCTGGATGATGCAAAAATAGACACTGCAGGCAACGAGGGCAAACCAGGCAGGGGAGGCCTGCGCCCTCCCTTATCACCTGTGACTGTTCTCCTTTCCAGTATTGACACAATAGGTGTCATCGTCTTGGGTCCTGCAAATATTATCTGTAAGGGTAAACTCCCAAGGAAAATACAAAAAGCCCATGGTCAGCTTTCAAGAAGTCCTCATTTTCCCAGACGTTTCTGTGAGGAGTTTCTTCAGTACTGTGTTTCCTCTCAACACAGCAGTTCCTTGGAAATGGATTTTCCACAGTCGCTGAACACTAAGCCTGTGTGGGCCGTCTGGAGCCCCTCAGTGCCTCCCCATCCAGGCAGCCCAGCACTTGCTGGACCTCCTGTGGAGAACAGCTGTTGGGGGAAGAACAGTTTACCCAAGCATCTGCAGGTGCTCAGCCCTGGAAGGCACTCAGCATCATTCGGAGCTAGTCCGACTTGTGCTTGGTGCCCCATTCGCCCAGCAGGCAAGCACCGCTGGCAAGATTGATAATTTAGTGGGTGGGTGGGACCCTGTGTAAACAGAGTGGTCCCTGAATAGACACATGCTCAGTTCCTCTCTTCCCTTTGTTTTCTCCTTCCCTCCCACCCTTTCGGTCCTCCTCTTGGCCTGTACACCCTGCCTAACAAAAAGCCAAGCTGAATAATCAGCACAAATTATTTACTTCTGGGGAGAATATGGAGGTCCAGTCTTGTAGGGGGAAGCTAGGTGGGCTTGGGTCCCTTCAAGACGTTCTTAGACAAGAGCAACTTTAGATACAAGCTTTGGTTCCATGACATTCAAAATCTGCCTGTGTAAAAATTTTCAACAAAAGTTCAGCTCACCTGATTCTTCCTCCAACTGCATTTGTTATAGAATTATGAAAAGCTGTTGTCATCTTTTTTCCCCTAAATCCCCCCTCCTCCAACTCATTGAGTTGTAGATTTAGTTTCGCTGTACTGGCTCTCTGTTCCAAATTTTGGCCTCTGACTGTAAGCTGAAACTTTGCCTCCCTTTCTAATTTGATTACAGCTGAATGTCTCTGCTTCTAATTATGATCTTAGGAACAGAGGTGGTACACTTTCTAAGCTGCAAAGCCTATAGGATTCTATAACTGATTAAGTGTGGTATTTATATTTGAATCATTTTTGTCACTGCCTTTCCCAAATGTTCAACAACAGACTTTTGACATTGGCAAAGTGTCATGCTACATAAATGTATCCATGACTTGCAGTACAAATTACACTTTTGCAGTGAAAGCTTTCCATTCCAATAAGGCCTCCCCATGAGAACCCTCTTCCTTCATTTAAAAGAAGGTATGGCCTTGGAGTTAGATGGAGCTGGGTTCATCTTGGTTTCACCGATTTTTATGTTTAACTTCAGAAGAGTGATTCTCTCATCTGGAAAACAGACCTAATAGTGTCTGCCTCATAGGGTTGTTACAAGTATTAAATAAGACAACATAAAGCAAGTCCTCAGCACAGCCCCTGGCATAGTAAGTACTTAATAAGTGCTAACCTTTATTTACGCTGTGCTTCTCTAAGCACCTGGTGAATGACTCAGTCACACACAGATGGCTGGGCCCCTCTCCCAGAGATTCTCATTCCATAGGTCTGGGGTGAGGTCCATGAATTTGCATTTCTAATAAGCTCCCAGGTGATGCTGAAGCTGCTTGTCCACACACCACGCTTTAAACAGCGTTGATTTAAAAGATCGTCCAGCTTTTTATACACATTCTCGTTATTTTCGTGTCATCAAAAGACTTGTGAGCAGTATGTGCTGGATGCTGTGCAAGTAATTTAAAAAGGAGTTTAAAATATAAAGCAGATACTTAGATAAAAGCCATCAGCTATAAAATACAATAAATCTTCAAGAAGATTAAGTACTTACATCATATACCCACAAGAAGAAATGCATTTTGGGGTTGGTGTGGAAGTTAGTAATAGTATGCATGTTGAAAGTTTTTTAAAAGCGTATCTTTTTAGGTATTCAAAACCTCCAGAACCAGTACCTTTCTGTCAACATTTCTTAAAGAAGTGGTTCCAATTGGGAGAGAGAAAAACCTAATGTGTGTTTTCAATACCCTATTTCAGAAGCAAATTATTTAAAACCCACAAAAGCCAACACCTAAAGGAAGTAAAAAACTAAACTACAATTGAGCCATGTGAGTGCTTTCAGCGTTATAGAAGCTCTGCCTTAAACTGCGATGAAGCACTTAAAAATGTAAAAATAGAGAAAACTCCCAAAAATATTTGTCTAATGTGTAATTCTATAGTGCACATAAATACTGTTTGCTTAGTAGTGGATAACTGTGAAATTAAGATCCACTTGCAAATTTAGAAATAACTCTGTAACACATAACTGTCAGCATTTATGTCTTGTTACTTAATGGCCATAACGTCATAGAAGAATGTTGTAACCTTGACAGATTGGCTAGACTCTTTAAGTGAGAAAGGGGACAAAAAAAAAACTTATGGTAATTATATGCGTTATTTCCTGAGCTACTTCCTCAAAAGGATATACTCCCAGGTTCCATCCAAAGTCATTTATTTGAAAACTGCTCACAGGGGTAAGGTTGTGGGGCTCTCTTTTAATGACTGGATGCATGATTTCCGCCACCGCATGCGTGTATAATTTTGCTGAACACCTGGTTGTGAAGTCAGCTCTGACAGAACAGAGTTTCACTGCAACAAGAGGTGTGGACCTGGGCACGGAGTTAGTCTGTCACAGGTTCCAACACACTGGCCCTGCTTTATTGACATTTTATCTATCCTGATAAATGTCGCCGTGTGTCTGCTTTCCCCACTGTTAGCACAGCGCAAATGTTCAAACTGGGCACTGGACTTCCTAGTTGACATATGGAGACCACACAATTAGGATCTCCTTAGCAGGTGTCCAACAATTTGACACTGGATTGTCTTGAGCAAGTATGTTCTTTGTGACACAAATCTCGTCTTCCAGCGACGTTACGTGCAGGTGACGGAGTGTTTTTAAATGATGCAGTGCTAAAAATAAGGAATAGCTTATGTTGAATCAGAATTAAAATAAAAGATGGTAAAATTAGAAAACTGAATGCCCAGCTAGTTGAAACAACAGCAATCAGTGTCTGTTTCTCTCTGCCTCAACTCTTTTAGCAAAATGTAATGACTGAATTTGGCTGCATTTTAATTCCTCTCCTCAACTTCCATGTTCCCGTAAAAGTACTGATCATTTCGGCTCTGCATACAATGAAGAGACCAGGAGTAACTGGTTAGCCAGATAGACAAAGCCCGTTTATATTCGAGCTTTGAAACACTTGTCTGAATGCTGATTTATGAATATTTCTTCTTGGCACCAAGTTTCTATTTAATTTTTGTTTCCAACGTGATTTAAAAGCGATTGGTAGCAATGGAATGATTTTGAAAGGTGGACAGGAAAGGGTGGAAGGGAAGAAACATGGGGTCCACTAATCCAGCAGTCAAATAATTGACCCATGAGTAATTAAAAGTTGGCCAAGGTCATGGAAACAAGACTGGCCCTCAAGTGATGGCAGCCTCAAGCTTCCTTTGTAGTTTTTGGATATGAGGCAAGTAGCCAAATGTTCTGTCTAAACTGTTTGGGAATTGCTTTTAAGTTCAGCGCTCTTAGAAAGGTATTATGTGACGAGTTATTGCTTCAGCACCCTCAAATGGCACAGCAGCCTCCACGAATTAGAGTCTAAATTAGAACTGGGGGCTCAGGAGTGGTTCCATCCATTTCTGTGTCAACATATTCCCTTTAGTAACATGTCTTGGGCAGGAAGGGCAATGGGAAAAATTTCCTCTTCACCCACCTCTGTGTCTTCCTTTTACCCAACATACATCCTTTTGGGGGTTTAACATGAAGAACTCTGTACGTAAGTCAACTATATAATGACCCAGCAATTTTTTCCTGGCTAAGTGTAGTTTCAAGCCATAAACTTGTGAAATGAGCCCTGTTAAAGAAGCGCAGGAATTGCAGGGTCTCCATAAATGTAACCCCATCACTCTATCGAGGATCAGTTATGAGTGTGGAAATATTCGTAAAAGAGCCACTAATTCCATCCCTGTTATCTGAGGGAAAGCTGCCAGATCCAGTGAAATCCTCATTAAATTACCACACCCCTCTGTTCAGAGCTGCACTTGACAGATAATACATAGTTAAAAATTCTTTTAAAAAGAAAAGGGCTTTATGGCCCTGTGAGATTGAAAATCACTGCCTGTCGTTAACCCCATTATGGAGATTACCGTAACATATCTGAATATCCTGAAGATCTAAGATGTTCTCCAGTGAGGGGATCTGCTCAACTTTAACTCAGCTTTTCCCAAATTTTCTGACATGGGACACTTTGAGAATATTGCTAAATTATTGTTATGTTTTGTCTTTCAAGGTCTCAGGAACACGTAGCTAGTGATATCTCTGTTTCTTCTTTTTCTCCCAGGAGTACTGCTGAGTGTCAGCGATTTACCCACCACAGCGCACAGCTGTGCTTTACCCAGCCTTTCGGCTTTAGAGTCCAGCTGGCCTTTTAGAGGGAGCCTCAAACACATTGATAGTATATTTTTTAAAAATCAGAATTCTAATATATTAAGTTATAAAGAGATTAAACTAGTTATTTTTGTGTGTTTAAAAGGGCACATTTTATCCCAATGGGAAGCTCTACATAGACGGTTAAATTATAACCATGAGTTTTCTTGATGAACATGAAAATGCCATCAACATCCATTTGCCACGACCTTTGCATTTGTTTCCACTGAAGGACAGATACATCCCAGTAACTGGACATGGTTGCTCCTAAAACAAGGCTGGACATATTTTTCCCTCTCTGACTCTCAAGTTATTTTTCTTATTTCATTATTTTTTTCAATAAAAATAGTACATGCACATAATTTTTTAAAAAAATCTGCCGCTTGCCCTGTCTTTAGTTTCCACCTCTAGGTCCCATGTCTTCAGGCTTTTGGCTGTATTTTCAGGTGGTCACTGTACATTATATGCCTACATAAGTGATAGGCCAATTTCTTAATGTGCTAGTTTTATACGTTATTGATATAGATAACCTTGATGGGATTTTATTTCCTTATTTTCCTCATATTTTGTATCCACAGGATTTACATCACAGGAAACAGAATTCTAAATTAATTTAAGTAGGAGGAGATTTCATGTAGGGAATTAAAAACTTAGAAAAATCATTGAAGAGCTGGAAGGGTTTGAGGCATGACTCCCTGAACTGGATGAGATTAGGGGCAGTCTTTTTACTGAGGTGTAATTTGCATATAATGCAATTCACATTTTTATTAAATATTTTACTGATTTATTACTGTTGTCCCAATTTTTCCTCTCTTCCTCTCCTGTACCCAGCCCGCCCCCCACTCCCATAGTCAACCCTTGCCCTGTTGTCCACATCTGTGGGCCATTCGTACGTGTTCCTTGATTAGTCTCTTCCCCTGCTTTTCAATGCGAACGATTCAGTGAGTTTTAATGTATCTATATGGTTGTATAACTCCCTCTTCCCTCCCAGAGCCTGATGACCATTGCTCTGTCTATGTTGCCTTTTCTAGAATGTAGTCTTGACTTCTTTCACTCACCTTACTGCTTCTGAAATTCATTCATGGTTCATTCAAAACTCATTCATTAGTTTTTATTATAGGGTAGGCTTTCAGTATGAATGTACCATAATTTTTCCATTCACCCATTGAAGAACATTTAAGTTGTAAACAGTTTTGACCACTATGAATAGACCTGCTGTGAACATTCTCGTGGTATCCTTTGCATGGACCTAAGTCGTCACCACTTTTGGGTAAATACCTAGAAGGGGGACTGTTGAGTTGTGTGGTAAGAACCCACAGACTGTCCTCTAGAGCAGCAGCACCACCATTTTGCATTCCCATCAATAGTGTATGGAGTTCCAGTTGTACCATATCTTCAACACATGGAACAATCTGTCTTGTGGGTAAAGTCATAACCCAGTTTCCCTGCTTCCCCAATGGTTATCCCTTCTAGATTTGCCGGTGCATGGCCCGCCCCATGCCTGGTTCCCTATGGGAGAACAACGAATGATAAAGGTTTGGATCTACTAATCAGTGATGTCTAGGGTGAATACATCCTCCAGTGTTGAACTGAACGTGCTGATGGATTTGAAAAGATCATTGATCATGGTCTTGACTTGACGCTCATGAGGTTTTAAACAGCAGGTAAGACAATGTTTTATGGTTCTCTTTCAGGCTTTTTGATCACTCCATGGAAGGATTTAAAAACTGGGAGTTCATGACAATTCATTGCTGGGGAGAACGTGCCGCCGGTGACTGGATCCTTGAGGTCTATGACACTCCCTCTCAGCTGAGGAACTTCAAGACTCCAGGTAAGAGCTTCCTTTCTATAATTGGGTTAGCAGTGTGGGAAAAAATGAGTATATTTTAGCCACGTAGTGTTTCACAATCATATGTCAACATCATTCTTTTTCATGTGATCCTGTGTTTTGAGTTGTTTGCATGTATTCCAGATCTCAAGATGATTTCACAGGTAATAATTCAAGGATAAGAAATAAAGAATAAATATTTAGATCAGTCCAGGATAAATCATGGCAGCTATTGATTGATATTTCAGAATATGAGATCCACATCTCTAACCAGCTTCCCATACTTTCTTTGTCCATTAACAAGCCAGCCATGCCCACCAGCAATGGGTTAAACTGCCTGGTCATAAGAGGAGACATGTTTCCTTAGTAATCTTTTTTTTCTGAATTTACTCTACACTCAATTCTCAGTACAGGCCTATGCCACCTAAACTGTTTACCACTAAAGAAAAGGGAGAATGGTATTCTGCCCCACGGGACCCCAGAGCTAAGCAAAAAGAAAACTTTCTTGCTATGTTAAAAAACAAAACAAAATCATGGGAGTTATGATGTTAACAAAGGTCTTTTCAGGCAGTCTCAGGCTCTTGTTGCTGCGTGTGTCCTATTTCCCTCTTCATGGAAGCTTATTTCTAACCTTAAAAAGGGGTGGAAAGTACAAGTGCAGCATGGGGTATGGGACTGAATGTTCTGCGGCAGCCTGCACTGCCTGTGATGGAACCCTACGGAGGACTGAGCTCAGTAATAGAGGGTCTGTTTAGCAGTTACCCCGGCTTCTCACGCAGCTGTGGACACACGTTTGACTGTCTGAAAAATTCATGCTTCTCAATGTTCTGTCCAATCTATCTGCAGAAGAATCAGGCATCAGAGTGATTTTTTAGGACTGACATCCAATTCTAGCCCTTTCCTGATGGCAGAATAAATGAACCAAGACATTTGGTGATTAACTGTAAGGGTATGAACCATTCAGGTACAGGGGGCGCTCTGTAGGAGAGAGGAGACACACAGCAGAAGACAGGTGAACACAGCATCCATCTGATACCAGACTTTTGAACACCAGTCAATGACTTATTCTGAGAGATTCATTTTTTAATCCTCACCCAAGGATATGTTTATTGATTTTTTTTTTTAGTTTAGGGAGAGAGAAACATCGATGTGAGAGAGAAAGAACTTGGAATACAAACCTCCCGTACGTGCCCCAACTTGGGATCAAACCCGCAACCTGCATACATGCCCTGACCAGAGATCGAACCTGCAACTTTTTAGTGTTTGGGACGGTGCTCCAACCAACTGAGCCACCCAACCAGAGCAAAATCCATTTATGAGCACATAGTTTAGGCACCTGTTTTCCCTAATTCTGTGCTGTGGTTCATCTGTGTTGCCACATTGGTCCCACAATCAGAGAGGTTGAAACCAGCATGGTGGCAAGGTCACAGTTAACAGCAAAAGAGTTTTGTTTAAGAGCATCTGGGTCCAACTCATCTCCAGCATGCAGCCTGAATATAATGGTTGCCAAGGTTTTATCCAGGGATCAAATGTTTGTCAGCAAGTCAGGGTTGACAGAAAACATTCAGATAAGCTAAAGCCTGGTTTCTAGACACTTTTACTTGTTCATCACACACTTAGTTCCCAGGATTGCCCCTTTCCTCTCCCTCTCTTCTCCTGTGTCGAGGCCCTGCTCATTGCCCCTGCTGTGCCGATGCACGGGGTCACCTGGGGGCAATGGCAGCGTGGTGACTGGGCTGTGCTGCCCTAACCAAAGTGCAGCTCCCAGTTGAGCCATCAGCAGGTGTCACTACTGAGCTTTTATGTAGCCAGAGATCCCAGAGAAATAAACTCTGTCAAAATGTGGCAGCATGGAGCGGGGTGGGTGGAGCGGGGCGGGGGGAGCGGCGTGGTGCTGGGTGGTGCAGCCTGGAGTGCGGACACAAGGGGTGCCTTCTCTGCTGAGGATTGAAGACAGTTAGAAAACTAACAAAAAGCGACTACTCTTTATTATCACCATGAACCAGCAATTCTACAGGATGCCAGTGATAAAAAGCTCCCTGCAAGAGCAGACTGCCCTGGGGGCACGCCACTGATTGGCCTGACTTTTGTGTGCAAGGGTCACAGGCTGGGAGTGTAAATCTCTCTGCCCTCAGGGAGCTCAAAGTCTATCCAATTTACTCCATGCCCTGTGTGAAAGCCCTCTGAAGTAGCCCAGAATCTCTGGATTGTCTGTCATAGCACCAGCTTCTCCTTATGCTATTTAAATGTTCATGTTTAACCCCAGTCACCTCCAATCATTTCAGAGATGTTCTTTATGCCAGAGAGAGATGTTCTAATGCTATGACTGGCCTGGGGTCAGGAGGCTTTAATAGAAACACATGATCTCTGGGTATTCTTCCTTCAATCAACCTTTTGGTTCAGGACTAGTCACAACTTTGGAAAGGGACTTTAGCTTCTCTCTCTCTCTCTCTCTCTCTCTCTCTCTCTCTCTCTTTCTGTGTGTGTGTGTGTGTGTGTGTGTGTGTACATGCATGCGCATACATTTCTATCATTTCTATGGTATTAACAGATCTATGGAAGGTTTCTCTCTCTCTAGTTAATAGGGGGCTTCTTAATAAGCTACTAGATATTCAGTTAGAGATAATAGAATTTTCTAGTTCAATTAAATGGTAAAATCACTCCCAAATATAGTGGTTCCTGGCTCCAAACTGAATCTATAATTGTTATTGTTTCTTCCCATTTGTATATTATTAAAATGCAAATTAAAGATTTTGAAGGCAATTTCTGTTTTGGTGCACATTAAACCTATCTTGGGTTTTCTATCTTGGGCAGATTGCATTTATGTTGGCAAATAGACTGGATCTTTCTCATTCTGTATTTACATAGCTATTTATTAACACGAAGTTGCAGTTAATATCTCCTACAGAATTTAGCAAGTAGAAAGAGTGTAAGACCAGCCAAGACAGTGGTCTAGGCAACATGGCTCACCTCTTCACACAACCCCATCAAAATTACATCTAAAATATAGAACAGCCACCACTAGAACTGTCAGAAGTGTAGTTGAATGGAAGTCTGACAACTACGGAATTGAAAGAAACCATGTCCATCCGGACTGGTAAAAGAAGCACAGACATGGAACAGACTGGTCCCACACCCACGTGTGGTGGATAAAATTCGGGAGGAATATCTCAGGAGTTAAGAGTCCCAGCCCCACACCAGGCCCCACAATCCATAGTTCCAGTGTCAGAAAATAAGTCCCCAAGACTTCTGGCTGCACAAACCACAGGGATTGAGTCGGTGGAAGAAACTTCTGGAGCCCCAAGCAGTTCCTCTCAAAGGACCCACACATGCACTCACCTACTCAGACTCACTCCTTTGAGCTCTAACATGTGAGTAGGAGCTTGAAAGACACCAGTGGCATACAGGCAGAAACTGAAATATCTGGCATTAAGGTGAGCAGAGCCATTGTCCCTTTGTTAAACCCTCCCCCCACAGAGCAAGCAGGCAGGTGCCATATCTGAGATAGCATCAAGCTGGCTAATGCTATGCCAACCCACCTTGGAGATCCCCAGAGACTCTGCCCCACCCACCTTATAGGCCCACCCAAGCTGCTTTTCTGTATGAATGGCTGGTCTTGGCTCATACCTCACAACTTCCCAAATCCTCTCAAACAAGCAGTAGCTGGCCTCAGTGAGCTCCAGGTTGGACACTGGCAGCACACAGCTTACATTCACAGCTTGGCTTTGCCTGGGAATCTCCAAGCTCAGCACAAGTAGCAGCCATTTCAGACTGTTTTATAGCTCAGGTAGGGTGCCCCGTGCAAAACACAGGTGGGGGCTGACCTTGGCCTGCATGACCTGGGGAACCCCAGGGCCAACGCACCCAGTAGACAACTACAGGCCTCACTGGAGCACCACCACACTGCCCCTACACAACTGATCCTCCATGGAGGGCAGAGGTTGGCGGTCAGTGGCCACAACCAGTCGTTGCAGCTGACTGGCCTGAGTAGATCCTTCCCATTGATCTACCAACAGCAACCAAAGCTCAACTACGAGAGAATGGGGTACTCATCCCACACAAAGGGCACACGTCAAGTACCCAGCTTGGGGGCTAGGGGAGGCTGTGCCACTAGACCCTACAGGACACCTACTACATTAGGCCACACTACCAAGACCCAAAGTCAAAGCAGCTCTACCTAATATATAGAAACAAACACAGGGAGTCTGCCAAAATGAGCAGACAAAGAAACATGGCCCAAATCAAAGAATAGATCAAAACTCAAAAAAAAAAAAAAAAAAAAAAAGAGCTAAACGAAATGGACACAAGCAATCCATCAGATGCAGAACTCAAAACACTGGTTATAAGGATGCTCAAGGAACTTAGTGAGGACCTTAACATCATAAAAAAGATCCAGTAAGAAATGAAGGATTCACTAATTGAAATAAAGAACAATTAACAGGAAAACAACAGTAGAGTAGATGAAGTCAGAATCAAATCAATGATTTGGAACATAAGGAAGCAAAAAACAACCAATCAGAAGAAGAAGAAAAAAGAATCCAAAAAATGAGGGTAGTATAAGCAGCCTCTGGGACAACTTCACTAGGTCCAGTAGTCACATCATATGAGTGCTACAAGAAATTGGAAATCTATTTGAAAATGTAGTGAAAGAAAATGTCCCTAATTTGGTGAAGGAAATAGACATGCAATTCCAGGCAGCACAGAGTCCCAAACAAAATGGATGCGAAGAGGCCGTCTCCAAGACACATCATAATTAAAATGCCAAAGGTTAAAGATAAAGAGAGAATCTTAAAAGGAGCAAGAGAAAAGAAGTTAGTTACCACACGGATGTTCCTGTAAGACTGTCAGCTGATTTCTCAAAAGAAACTTTGCAACCTAGAAGGGATTGGCAAGAAATATTCAAAGTCATGAAAAGCAGGGACTACAGCCAAGATTGCTCTACCCAGCAAAGCTATCATTTAGGATCAAAGGGCAGATAAAGAGCTTCCCAGACAAGAAAAAGC